GGAGAGGGAGGGGGTGAGCAATTGTATGTTGTCGTAGACGAGCTGGTATTACCTGTGATCGTGGAAAAAATGGAGATTGGGCGATGTCGAATGGAATCCGAGTGCGGCTTGTCATCTGGGGTTGATACTTGTGGGTCATTGTTGTTAAAAGGGATAAGCTGCGAAATACCTCCATAAGTTGAGATATATGTCAAAATGCCCCTGAAAGATGTCGGTAGAGCCTAAATGTTTGTGTTGTGCCCCTGTCAGGCGGGTGTGCAGCTTTGCCATCTGGACCTCCCTGTTTGGGCCTTGGCCTTTTGCAATAGCGCCTAGGAGAAGTTGGCAAGTACTGGGGCATTTTGCAAAGTTGGACGGTACCCTGTAGGGGTATATTGCAATGATGGGGATCCAACTGACGCAAGGGGTGTTTCACAAAATAATTTTTTTTGTCAAGAGGGGAATTCTGCTCTACCCACATCTTTTAGGGGCATTTTGGCATTTATCTCAACTTATGGGGGTATTGTGTAAATTATGCCTTGTTAAAAACGAAAAAAAAAAAGAAACCTGCGGGCGTGCCCTATGTTAGGAATGTTGGTTTGCAACTTTGCATTCGTTTTTACTGTTAGGCTGTGAGGGGGGTTAAACAATACTGAAACGAGAATGAAACATGGGCGAGTGGTTAAAATGGCTGGGTTTAACGTGGGTTGTTGGAACGAGAGCAAGGCGAAAAGCCAAAACGCTCTGATAATTCAGACAAGCAGACGAAGATGTAAGGTGGGAGAGGAGTGATCCGCAGACATACTAGTATGGGTATTCACGACGATGGGGTCTAGCATGACGATTCGCATCCTCCTCTCTTTTGCATTTTGCTATGGCGTACCTCAGAGTTCCATATGATATCTCAGCAAAAATGTGAAAGACCCGAAGCCAAAATATAGCCGCATCCAGAGACCACATAAGAATGTTTAACCATTCCATTTTACAAACACCTTTTTACCCCAAACAAACAGCTCATACAAAATTCACAGGGACTCAGATCAACAAATCGTCAAGGGGAAGAGGTATTGGAAGGGAAGGAGAAGAGAAAGAAAAAGAAGAAAAAGAAGAAGAGAAAGAGAAAGAGAAAGATAAAGATAAAGAAAAGGAAGGGAGGCAAGAGAGAAGTGGGGACGAAGGAAGGAATGGGAGGGAACAAAGTCAGGAAAAACGACAAATACGACACATGAAAAGGCTGAGAAGCAGTGGAAATAGAGGAAGTGAGCGCCAACAGCCGAATGATAAG